TCGTTTGGGTACTGCCCCAGATGTGCCCCCCAGCCAGTGGCAAATGTGGTCCTGCAGGCAGGACTGAGGGGGGGACACAAAGTGGTCCCAGGGGTGTGCTGCCCTGGGCTGGATGTGGCTATCCTGGGGGGAGGTGGTGTTCTGGTGCCTTGCTCAGCCTTCCTGAGGAAAGGGATGGGGAGCAACTGGGGCCCTGCCTCTGGCACAGGAACAGGGTGATGCTGCAGATTTGCAGAGGTGCTGAGCAGCACCCGGGCAGCAATCCTGGCTGGGTTTCTCCCCCACAGGGCAGCCCCGCTCCCGCGGGTCTCTGAGGCATCCATGGAGGCTGAGGCTGAGCTCTGCAGCTCCCAAGCTCCCCAGTCAAAATTGATTCAGCTGCTGCCATCGCTTCCACCCACCCGCCCACATGCAAATAAGCTCAAATGTCAGGAGCAATCGCTCCAGAGGAGGAAGTGGGGGAGATTTCCCAGGCTTTGCACCGAGATGCTCAGCCGTGTTGTGGTTGATCTGGAGCCCAGGTGAGTCCCCACCCCGGGGACCCCATCCATGTCCCCAGCCCAACGGAGATGGCCGAGACCATCCACCACCACCCTGGGGGGCTGGAGGGATGTTTTGGAGCCTGTGCTGCAGAGCAGCCCCAGGGAATGGGAGTAAGAGTTGAGCACCTTTGTTCTGCTCTGGGTCTGCCCATCTTGGGAATGCTGGGATTTGCCTGCGGGTTTGACTCCTCTTCCCTGGTCCAGACAGGGCAGAGATGTGGTTGTCCCTGGCTGTGATGCTGCAGGCAGCATCATGCTGGTCCTGCTGCCGAAGCTCATGATGCTTCTGGGTGTAAAATAATTTCCTTCACCCCCTCAGCAGCCCAGCCAGGCCCTCCTGCCTGCAGCAGCTTTAAATAAGCCTCTGAGTGTCTCGCTAATCACCTTGGGCTGCTCTTCAGGCAGTGCTCAAGCAGGACTGGGGCTGGCAGAGGCTGTGCAGACTGTGCAGGGGGTTTGCAAGGACCCTCCCCGATGTGGGGAGCAAGTGGGGTCCCCTCTTTTCCCTCTGTGAGCCCCCCAGGAGCTGAGGTCTCCACAGCTGCTCTGTGCCTCAGTTTCCCTGCTGGAGCTGCTGGTACCAACCTGTGCATGACAGGTCACTCCTGCCCGGGGTGGGCTCTGGGCAGACTGAGGCTGAAGGGTCATCAGCCCCCCGAGGACAGGGGGGCTAAGCTCCCTCCTGGCACTGCTCAAAGCTGCTTAGGGGAATCAGATCGTGGGGATTTGTTTCCTGGAGTGCCCAGCTGGAGGGGTGCTGGCCAGCTTGGCTCACCCAGCATGTCCTCAGGGGAGAGGCTGCCTGTCCCCCTGTCCCAGTAAGGTCCCCAGTCCCAGTGAGTCCCCTGCCTCCTCCCCAGAGCCACCTTCCCTGCACTACTGGCACCCTAAGCCATATTCTCCTTTGTAGGAGCTGCTCACACCCAAGGGGCTCCCTGGACATGGGGGTCTCTGGAACTGGGGTTGCCAGCACTGGGTCCCCCCAACTTGCCCATTCCCTGCCCTGTTGCTGTGGTTATGGGGCTGTTGCTGCCCCCATGGCAAAGTGAATCAGACAGGGGGGCAGGAAGAGAGTGAATCAGAGTGGCACTGGAGGTGCCCCAGGCACCCCTGTGTAAGATGAGGTGAAATGGGCTGTGGGGTCCATCCTGAGCTCCAGCACCAGGACCATTTTCTCCATGGCACAACCATAGCTGCACTGTGCCCCAGGTGGGCACCAGCCCTGCTGGGAGGGATGAACTCCAGCCATGGCATCCAACTGCCAGCCTGGAACCACCCTCCAGCTCCAGGCAAGCTCCCCATGCCAGGAGCAGGGCTGCTGGGCTCTGGCACAGGGCTCAGGCCAGAAGCATCAGGCACCTCTGCTGACACTGCCAGCACGGGTGATGGAAAAAAGCCTGTCTGCTTGCCCTGGGCACCCTGTGCACAGCCAGACCCCATTAGCATTTATCCCCCCATCCCAATGACACATCCAAGCACCAAGGGCGATGTGTCCCACCCCTGGCATCCTGGCATGGGGACAGCCCCTGGCTGGCAGTGGCATCACCCCGTGGCCCTTGCAGGGGGGCAACTCACCGTCCAGCCGCCCCCATCCGTCGTCATGTCACAGTAGACCTGGAATCCAGAGGGATAGTGGGTGGGGAAGATGGAGTAAATCCCATCCTCTTGCTGTCCACTCGCATAGATGTCAAAGCAGTCTCGGGGCCGGGAGCCTGCAGCATTGGGATGGGGTGGGATGAGAGGAAAGCTGGTTAATTAATGATCTAATTTAATGTCTTGCCGTTTCTTTAAGGCACTTGGCCTTGCTGCCAGCTCTGGTTGGCAGCTCGATGCTGCCTTGCTATTTCCCTCCTCTCTCCCCCGATGCTCTGGGTAAGCAGTGCCTGAGGGGACACAGCCACCGTGGGGACCCCCCCAGCAGCCAGCAGGGACAGACCCTGTGTCCCCATGTGACAGCAAGGGCAGGCAGGGACCCAGCTGGGGAGGAGGGAGCCAGTGCCTGGAGGCAGCTGCAGGCAAAGTGTGGGCATGTGCTGGCAGCCCTGGGACAGCCTCCCTCAGCTTCATCTCACCCAAACGATGAGGAAAGTGACTGTTATTCTGAGCCCTGCTCAGCCCTGCCCTCCACTCCCAAACGGGTGGGTCTGCAGGGCTGTGAAGTGGCTTTTGTGCCAGCTTTGCAGGCTGGTTTCTGCACAAGGGCCACAGGGTAAGAAACACAACTTGGCACCTCCCTTCCACTTCATCTCCTCCACCTCCTCGCCAGCCCCCCTGCTGCATTAAATCCCTTCTCCAGGCTGGTTTTCCCCAGCTCAGGTACTTTTCTCCCTCCTCCTTTTTTTAGGCAGCGACCTGCTCAGAGCAGCCCCAGGCACATCCCTCTCCCTGGGGATGGATGGGACCAGGTCTCACCGTTGGAGCAGCCCCGTGGCCGTGCCCCTCTGGCCGGTGCTCGCTGCAGGTCGGCCTTGAGCCGGGGCCTGGCCCCGCCACGCTCCTTCTGCAGCGTGTCCAGGACGTCGCTCACGGAGCTCACCAGCCGAGCCATGTTGGTCTGGCTCTCCGAGAGCAGCTGTGGGCAGGAGACACGTGGAGGGACATGGAATTGTGGGTGAATAGGGTTAAATCCCTCCCGTAACCCAGCACCTTGAGCAGCCCTCCAGGATGCTCTGCCTGCTCCCCGACGTGTCTGTGGGCAGCAACGCTCCCTGGCAGGGTACCAGGGGAGCCAGCTGGGGGCATAAAAGCCACAGCAGATCCTGTACAGCACCTATGGTGCTTTTTGGGTTAAGATAGGACCTATTGCCAAGGGGGCTGAGAAACCCCCCAACCTGGGTGCGTCGGTGCTGCCACCCGGTGGGATAAAGAGCATCTCTGGGCGAGGGGTGGATGGTGGAGGCGGCAGGAAAAGCCGCGTCCTGAGGCAGCTGCCCCGTCCCTGCCATCCCCCTGCCATCCCCCTGCCATCCCCCTGCCATCCCCCTGCCATCCCCCTGCCATCCCCCCGGCCAAAGTGAAGCAGCAGGGATCAAGCAGCTCCGGCCCGAAGGAGATAAGGACCAGGAGAGATGGGCAGGGAGCTGAGAACCCAACCGTGCCCTGGGTCTTGGTACAACACCCAGCAGGTCCCTGGTGTGTCCAGGTAAGTGTAGCAACGCAGCTCATTGGCTGGGAAGTTCTGGGACTGTAAATAAGGGGGGGGCTGATTGCTGCATGAGCTGCCCTTGGGATGCTGCTGTGCTGAGCTCTGCTTAGAGCCCCCAGACTTACCCCAAAGCCAGGAGACCCACAAGAAAGGAGGCTGCACACCCAGCTCACCAGCACCAGGGCAGTTTGGCAGCGAAACACAGGCTGGAGCTGAAGTTGTGCTTCCTAACTTGCAATCCCTAAGCAACCTCCTTAACCCTCAACTCCTCCAGCTGGAGGTTTGCCCTGGCTGCCACCAGCCATGCCCCTAGGGTGCGTTTGTCCCCAAGGAACACCTCTGTGGCACCATCAGCCTCAGCTCACCTGGATGAGCCTGCCCTGCTCTCCCTGCAGGGTGCTGAGCTCCTGCCCCATGGCGCTGTGCCCTTTCTTGAGGCCGTCGCAGTCGGCCCGCAGCTGCACGGCGTGTGTCAGCAGCTTGGCCACCTCGTCTGCCACGGTGACCAGCAGGGCCTTCTGCTGGCTCCTGGTGGCCTTGGCCTCGGCGTCGTGGTCGGTGAGGGCGCGCAGCAGGGAGGTCTGCAGCCCCTCCAGGCGCCCCAGGGCCCCCGTCCCGTCGGGGCAGTTGGGGTCGATGAAGATGTTGATGCGGGAGCTGTCGGCTTTCTCGATGGTGACCAGAGCGTTGGCTTCCTCGGGGTTGGTGCTGATGACCGGGGGGGACTCGGTGACCGGCGTGTGGTAGTGGTTCATGAAGAGGATGGCTCCTGTCACCTTCACAGCCAGCAGCACGGCCACCGAGAGCAGGACGGTGCACAGGACGTACCCACAGCTCATCCTCTGTGGACAGAGAGGGGGGCACCTTCAGGGACCCTTCGTCTGAGAGGTGGGTTCAAACCCTCATAGGCTTTGGGGAGTCCAGCAAAGGGGGGACGGTGATGTTGGAGACCTGGGTGATGGCACAGGAGGAGACACAGGGACCCTGGGGAGCCCCTCCCAGGGACACGGGAGACCACGAGTGAGTTGTTGGTGAGCAAAGCAGCTGAACCTGCTGGGGAGCTGGAGGTATGAAATGATCAGGAGAGGGAAGGCTGCCGGGTCCTGCTGGCATCACGGGTTTTATTTAGGGTGGGTGTACTCAGCTGGAGCAGCCCTGGCTCCCCAGGAGGTGCGTGTGGGGCTCCCTGGGCACAAATACGGGGAGAAAAAGGGAAAACACACCCCTTGTGCCCCCCACCCACCAAGCAGGGATGGTGGGGGAAGCAAGGAGGGAAGGCAGGGGCTGTTCCCAGCAGCAGGGAGGGAGGCTGAGGGTCAATGCTGGGGTCACACTGCACCTTGGGGACTGCACCAGTTATCCTGTCCCCATCTCCTTTGCACCCTCACTGCCTGCTGGAGGGGAGTAGAGCTCCTCCCACACCCTTGGACCTGCCCCAGAGCCTCCTAGCAAGGGGGAGTCCCTGTGGGAAAGGTCTCTGACACACACCCCCCCCACTCAAGCCCCTCTGAAAGCTTCACTGCTGCAGGGACCCATTGGCTCAGCCATGGGAGCTGCTCTCTGCACACCAAGAACCTTTTATCCAAGAGCCTTTTCTCCTGGCAAAGCGTGAAGAGGGAGTGAGCTGCCCCTTGTCCCATCAGCCCCCGTCCCCCCGGGCCACCTCCTCTTCTCATTACACCTGCAGGGCAGAGGCTGTGATTTTCCCCTGACCCCAGCCACGGCTGTCACAAGGAATTGCAAGGCTGCCAGAAAACTGCAGATTCAGAGAGACAAAGACTATTTTCCCCAGAAACAAGGGGAAAATTGCTGCATCTGCAAAGATTTTCCAGGCCCTGTCCCCTCCTGTGCACATCTATCTGGACTGACACCTTCCTTCAAGCACCCTTCCTTGCATTCATGTTCCTGCACCATTTGCATTAAGGTGACCCTGGCTGGGGTGGGACTTGGCCAACCAGGGTCTGGGGGGGCTGTGGGTGCCCCATCAGCCACGGGATGTTCCAAGTGGTTTTTTCCCAGCCCACAGAGTGAGTCTGGAGGAACAAATGGTGCTGGGCTGAATGAGAAGCCACCCCACAGGGAGCTCCATCACCAGGCAGCCCCAGGCTCAGCCCCTCAGTTTGCATTAAAAGGAGATGTCAAAGGCAATAATGGGAGCTCTGGAAAGCAGAGGATCAAGGAGTTTGCCCTGTGTTTGTAGACAAGGAACCCTGCCTCGGAGGCACCTGGGAGCAGCAGGATGGTGGCAGGCAGAGGTGGGAGATGCCCACTGTTGACACCCTGATGTGGACACCCAGGACCTGGGCTTGACCTGACCCCTTGGCACCCTGCGAGCACAGAAGTGACAGGAGGGATGGCTGCTGACCAGAGGCCAAGCCCGAGTGGTTTGGGATCTGTTGGGGAGCAGGGACCTTGTCTCCGTGTCTGTCCTGGCCATTGCAGCACCTTCAGCTCCATGGCTCTGCACCATCCCCCTCTACATGCTGCTGCTCACCACCGTGCTGATGTCCCCAGCTTAAAATGTGCCTGCCAGGACACTCAGATGGGCTGTGACATCTGAGGGACCCGTCTGAGCATCAGGGGTTTCAGGAGCAGAGCTGGCAGCCCATGCTCTGCTCCTGCAGCCACACAAATCCCAACTGGTCTCTAAGACACCAAAATCCTGCATCTGCAACTTGGGAGCTGCATCCAGCTGTTTTCCAGCCTTTGAGACCCTGCACTGCTCCCCTCTGGGGCAGGAACCAGGGCCTGAGCCCCTTCACAGGTGACCCCATCTGCTTGCGACCCGAGATGCCTGGTGGCAGCTTTACGAGTCCCACGGCATTTTGCTGGCAGGTTGTGTTACCTGGCAACCTGCAGTGGGGAGGGGAGGGAAATGCTCAGCCAGCAACACCAGCAACACTCCAAACTAGGGTGTGGGACCCCCTTAATTCCCCCAGTACAGCAGCCCTGCAGTTTCTTGCCCTGCAGATGCCTCTGCCACAAGCTCCTGCCCACCATGACCGTGGCCCTCATGGCTCTGTGGTTTCTGCCTTCCACTGCACAGCTTCAGGCTCCTGGTTTTCTTGCCAAGGCTTTCAGGCATCCACAGGACATCTCCTTGCTGCCCATGTGGCAGCTGCCCTGGTTCTTAATGTTCCCCTAAGGACATCCATCAGGCTGGAGGTCCCAATGCCTGCAAATCATTCCTTCCTAGGGAGAACAGAAGCTGCAAGGCTGGGAGGTGCTTGGGACGAGCAGAGCTTCACTTGCAAACCTGCTCTGGAGCTTGGGAAGGAGCCCCAGGCAGGACCCATGGCACTGTTACCTTGCGAGTGCCAAGCTGAGCTGGGCTCTCCATGCATTGCACTGGCTCAGGAACATCTCTGTCCTTAGCCACTGTGCCCCACGGGAGCCAGGTCATTGGTGCTCCAGCCACACCAAGTGTCTCCCAGCTTCCTCAGCCAGACCAACAGGCACTGGGCATGGGAGACAGCAGCTCCAGCACTGCCAGGAGGGAAGAACATGAGCCAGCTCGTGCCCAGAGGTGGGCTTGGCCCCTGGGGAGCATGGATGGGGAGCAGTGGCTGAAGATGCTCTGCTGTGGGAGATGCTCTTTGAGGGGAAGATGCCCTTTGCTCCTGCCAAAGCTGCTGCTCTTTGCCAGCTCACCAGGCAAGCTCTGGGCTGTGGGGTGTAAGGCACCAGTCACAGCAGCCCTGGGTGCTCTGCCTCCAAGCCCTGCCCTCTGGCAGGCATGAACCAGGACTCTGGTTGTGCTTCTGAGGCAGGGGGACACTATGGTTTGCTTCACCCAGGCTCAGCTGCTGGGGCAAACTCTAATCCAGTTAACCCCACTTTACTGCTGGGGTCCACCCAGCCCTGAAGGACCCTCAGGACAGCAGGGACTAGTCCTGTCCCCCCTTCAAGCCTCATTGCTCACTCCAGAGCTGCTCAGGCAGCTCAGTTTGCACTCCAGTCGTTCTGCCTCTGTCCCTCTCCACCCTCCCTGCCTGTCCAGCTCTGCTGCTGCTCAGTTTTGTGCGGAGCTGCAGACCCTGTCCCTGCTCACCCTGGGGCAGGGGCTGCACCCCAACCCCTCCCCTCCTGCACCCTGCTGCTCCCGGAGCCTAACGCTGCACTTTGCTGGCTCCCCGCGGGCTGATGAACTGAATCCCACTCCTGTTCCTGCTCTCCTCCTTCACCCAAAGCCTGCCTGAGACTGCTCCTGCAGCACCGCTCGGGGAGAGGGGAAGGCTGGAGAGCTGAGCGGAGCCGGTGGGTGAGCACACACAGGCGGGCTGGGCTGGGTTCTCACTGGAGCTTACTGGGAGCCCAGCGCCGGCTGCACCGCACACCCTGTGCCTCCTTTGCAACCCCTCGCGTCAACCAGCAGCTCCAGGCTGTGTTGTCCAGCCCTACACGGGCTGTGGGGCTGGACTCCACGGGTTGTGGGCCTGGAGCCACCCTGCCATGGGGGTGATAAAGCCAACTGGGTAGTGTAGCTCAGCTCCAGCTGGATCACACTGCCTGGACCCCGGCGTGGAGGTGCCGGGTGCCAGCTCTGCTGGGAAGGGGAGAGGAGAGTGAGGTGTCTCTCTGGGGGTGGGGAGGAGGTATGGGGCCTCCTGTGCAATCTTGGGTCCTGCAGCCCCTCTCCAGTGAGGCAAGGAAGCTGTTCCAGCACGGATGAGCTGGCAGAGGGGGAGAGGGCTGGGAGAAGGGTGTGCAGGAGGGAGAAGTCAGGCAGAAATCCCTTTCCTGCATCGCTGCAGGTGAAAGGGGGACAGGGAAGCAGCAGACCTGGGGAGATGCGTGGGACCCATGGCAAGTAGGTGGCTGGCTGCTGCCTCCCATGCTTGCCCAGCACCAGGGTGCAGAGGGAGAAGGTGGGCACTGCCAGCTCTTGGCTCCTTCCCTTGGCTCACGAGCTCCAAGGCTTCTCCCTGCTGGCCCCAGGCACACTCACCCATACTCCAGACCCCTTCCCTCCCAGAGTGCCAGCAGGGCACCCACCTGCCCCAGCCATGCAGCCGTGCCTGCTCTAGCACCCTCGGTGACCCGAGGCTGGGCAGGGGGGCACCGCC